ACTCCCGCCCGGGCGACAGAGCCAGACTCTTGTCTCACACGGACCCCCCCGCCCAGCCCAAGTCTCTGTCCCTTGGGCCACTGCCCCTCCCCCAATGAGTCAACAAGGCCGGCAGCCTCCCTGGAGGCCAGTGACCTCCGGACCTATCGCAGGCAGGCCCGGGGCCCAATGACGGGCAGGGGGAGGTGGCCCTGGGGACAGGGGGAGGTGGCTGTGACCGCCGCGGGTCACTTCCTGTCCTGCCTCAGAGCCGGCCTCAGCCCCAAGCTAGAGCCATGTCCGACCTCCACGAGCTCTGCTCCGGCCTCCCTCTGAGGCCTCTACCCGAGAACCGAGGCCGCTGGGCTGGGGTGCCACACGCCCCGGTCAGGACTCCGGGCCTCACCCCTGCAGAGGAGGAGGTAAGAAGTTTGGGGGGATGTGGTAATCCCAGCTGCAGCCTCCTTATCGGGCCTCCAGCCTCCTTAACGGGCCTCCACCCCCGGCCTCCAGGGGACTCCTGATTTCGGGGGTTAGGGGTTGCAATATCAGCGACCCCAAGGACAGAGGAGGGTGCTGAGGCTCAAGGTCACCCAGCCAGCCAGTGGTGGCACCGGGGCGACCTCCATTGTCACCAGGAAGTGGCCGCGTGTTCATCGTCACGAACCCCAAAGGGGTGACAGACTCCCTGGCCCGTGGGCCTCAAATCACGTGACCTTTGCACCCCACTCTCCACTAGATCAGCCTCCGATTTTTATTTTTATTTTATTTTGCTTCTCTTATGGGAGGCAGAGTCTCGCTCTGTGGCCGAGGCTGGCCTCCACCTCCTGGCCTCCAGCGATCCTCCTGCCTCAGCCTCCCCGAGTATCAAGGACTGTTCTGGCTACGTCATCACCAAGTCCGGCTCATTTTTTAAAAAAAAAAAAATGTTGTTGTCGAGATCGGCGGGGTCTTGCTCTGTTGCCCAGGCTGACCTCCAACTGTGGGCCTCCAGCCTCGGCCTCCCGAAGTGCTGGGGTGACAGGCGTGAGCCTCTGCGGCCTCGTGTTTTTGTTTGTAAACGTTCCAGTGAATTTGAGGGGCGCAGGAGGCTAGAACCCGGTTTCGGGCATGAGGACAGCTAGGGTAGAGGCCAGGTGGCCTCTAGCCTGATGGCCCCACGGTACCTGTGAGGAAACAGGCTCAGGAGAAAGAGGGTGGCTTGCTGGGGGGGCACCCACTGGAGCTACCCAGCCCCCCTAAGAAGTCACCGGCCAGCCGGGCGCAGAGGCTCACGCCTGTCATCCCAGCACTCTGGGAGGAGGCCGAGGCGGGAGGATCGCTCGAGGTCAGGAGTTGGAGGCCAGCCTGAGCCAGAGCGAGGCCCCGTCTCTACTGAAAAAAAATAGAAAGAAATGAGCTGGACGACTAAAAATATATCGGGAAAAAATGAGCCGGGCGTGGTGGCGCACGCCTGTCGTCCCAGCTACTCGGGAGGGAGGCCGAGGAGGGAGGATCACTCGAGGTCAGGAGTTGGAGGCCAGCCTGAGCAAGAGCGAGGCCCCGTCTCTACTAAAAACAGAAAGAAATTAACCCAAAAAAGTAAAAATATATTTTAAAAAAACGAGCCGGGCGTGGAGGCGCATGCCTGTCATCCCAGCTACTCGGGAGGGAGGCCGAGGCAGGAGGCTCGCTGGAGGCCTGGAGGTTGAGGCTGCTGTGAGCGAGGCTGACGCCACGGCGCCCTGGCCCAGGCGACAGAGCGAGAGTCTGTCTCAAAAATAAATAAATAAGTCGCGGGCCCTGGCGTGCCTCGGTTTCCCCACGCGCGAGCGTGGGACGTGAGCGCACCCGAGGGAACAGGCGTGGCGGGTGGCTCCGAGTCTCCGCCCGCGCCCCTGCGCTGCGGACCGTCGGGGTGCGGGGCTGGGGGGACACGAGTCCGCTCAGACGGGAGGGGCGGGACCGAGACGGTGGCTGCTGGGGGGCTGGGGGCGGGGCTGGGGGCGGGGCTGGGGGGCCGGGCGCTGGAGACCCGCCCCACTGCTGGGCTGCTGTGGGGTTCGCACGACCTCCCTGGGGCCTGTGAGGTGGCCCCCCAGGCCCTGGGGGAGGGGGGCGCAGCCGGGCTTGGAGCGCGAGAGCGTTTCACCGCGGCCTCC